AAACTGACACAACATAATGTACTCAACAGTGATGATGAACTAGAGGATGGTATTAACAGAGGAATGTCATTTAACTGCACATAAGATAACATATCTGTTTCTGCATTGTATCAGTGGCGATATTTGCTGTTTTTCTTCTGTTAGGTAAAGTACCGTGGCGACATCTATTAGAGATAGTCACTGGTAGAAGCTTTAAAACATATTTAAAACACATGGTTGTAACGATATATTAGTATAACGTAGAAGGAAGGTAAAATTACATGAGATATTATGTTTTCGCACATTTAATGACGAGGAACCCACTTTGAAACAGACAAAGTTTAGAGGCGGCTTGAATGGGTATCGAAGAAACTTTATTTACAAGTTTAACACAGTAACGGATGTACAACGTTTCAACAAGGTTTTGTCATCAACAGGTGTTAGTAGTTTACATAGGAATATACATAAAGTGATGAAATAATAAAATCACGTACCCGGAGATTGCTTAACGGCTTAGTCAAGATATCTTAACGTAATGCGTTTAGAGTAAGGCTGTGTTATTCAGTTAAGATAGCTTATTTGATTTTACGTTCCTTGATGTTTGATTCTTTGTTTAAAATTAGAGAATTTTTAATAGATATGCTATAGTTTTTCGAATTGCAATAGTTATAAGCATGGATTTTTTATTATATTCAGTGAAATTATCTTCCAATTTCTTCTTGGTTTCTCCAATGTACAATTCTGGGCAATTATTACACATTATTTTATAAATAACATTGGTATTTTTATATACACAATTTTCATGTAGTAAAAGTTCTAGTTTAGGGTCGCGTTATTTGAATGAATGTAAAGCGGACAGGAATTTTATCTTTATAGCAAGTTGTTTCGAACTGTGAATCATTTTTGAACTGATTTCTTGGTTAAATCGTAAGCTTCAGTGCATTATTTTGTTGTGGATTGGTTCAAAGTTTTCTTCGTTACCCAATCAAAATTCTCTAAATGTTATTTATCACACACTTGTTTTCCCAGTAAGCAGTTAGACTTATGTATGTTTAAAGATGTAGTTAGACATATATATGTTTAAAGATGTAGTTAGACATATATATATATTTAAAGATGAAGTTAGACATATATATATGTTTAAAGATGAAATTAGACTTATATATGTTTAAAGATGTAGTTAGACTTATATATGTTTAAAGATGTAGTTAGACTTATGTATGTTTAAAGATGGAGTTAGACATATATATGTTTAAAGATGTAGTTAGACTTATGTATGTTTAAAGATGTAGTTAGACTTATATATGTTTAAAGATGTAGTTAGACATATATATGTTTAAAGATGTACTTAGACTTATGTATGTTTAAAGATGTAGTTAGACTTATATATGTTTAAAGATGTAGTTAGACTTATATATGTTTAAAGATGAATATCCTCATTAAGATCGTGTATAGGCAAATTAGTGGAATCTCTGTTTCAAACGTACCGGAATCAATAAGATATAATAAGCATATATTTAAGTGTCAAAATCCGAGAAGCTCCGAAATATCAAGCAGACCTATTAGGCATTTATTTTTCTGTTTGTATTGTGTTTCAATTCATCCAGAAGCAACTGGCACAGTCTGTAGATCTTGAGAGGATGAACAAGAACAATCAAAAGACCTTTACAGGAAGTGAGACACCAACACAGTCAACTTAGAACTTGTTACTTTATAAGCAGTTTAACAAACCAGTTCTAATTTTCAGTGTTAGATAACTAGCCTTATATAATTTTTATGGCTTATATAATAACTATATTATTGAACTCTAAGATTATATCCACAAAATATCCAATCTTAAAGAATATATTCTCTAATTTTCAAATGTGCCTGTTGTGGGGCTTTCAGATGTCGCAGTTTTATATGATAAGCAAAATATGACACACATGTCAAAAAGTATAAAATCGACTTTGCTTGAATTGATTTATTGCTTTAAACATTTGCTTCTGTAAACAATGCTATAAATCGGTATCACAAACATAACGTGCTTTATCTTTTAAGAAATGTTATATACTTTCCAAAGACATATGTTACAGAATTCTCCAGTGATGCCAGTTTAGGCCATATAATTAATTGGTAAGTAATTATTTTGTAAAATCTTTTTTCATTTGCAGTAATGCCATCTCTATATGTCTCTTCCATCCAAATAGCATTGCTTTGCAATTGTAATATTGTCTGATTTTCAAAAACCGTTTGTTTGTGAGAGATAATAGGGAGTGTTGCAAAGCTACACGAGGGGTATTTATGCCAGCTGTCCCTAATTTAGCAGTAAAAGACTAAAGGGAAGACAACTAATCATCACCACTCACCACCAACTCTTGGGCTACTCTTTTGGCGTATATTATAACGCCCCCATGGCTGAAAGGGCGAGCATGTTTGGTGGGACGGGGATTCGAACCCGTGACCCTTAGGTTGCGAGCGAAGCACCCTAACCATCCTGGCCATGCCTGGCCCTACTCTAGTGATTCACATTGTCACTCACTTAGTCAAAATATCATATTACAATAATTAAAACTATAAATAGTTTTTTATAAATGTTGAAATTTGAATTTTTTTTAAATTGGTAAATGTGTAAATAGTAATTGTTTCCTGCTTCCTTATTAAATATAAAAAAAAATTTAATTTTCTTTACGTATTAAGTTTGCAGTTTTAATATAGAATGCCAGTCAAGGAAGCCATTAAATATATTTCGCCTGTCCCCCAGTGGCCCAGCGATATGTCTATGGGCTTACAATGCTAGAAATCAGGTTTCGATACCCGTGCTGGGCAGAGTACAGATAGCTCATTTTGTAGCTTTGTGTTTAGTTACAAACAAACAAACAAAATTCTCTCGCCCTTGTAACCTACTGAAGTTGGTCATTCACCTAGGGTGTCACATGCACTTTCTCGTGGAAATAATTCCTGTAAAGTGGATTATATTAAATAGAAGTAAACATTGATTTTTATCACTGACAAGTCAGATGATGTATCAAGGATAAAATTTCCTATATTTTGCAGTGAGTCACGGGAGGTAGCGACTATATCCTGAGAAGAAGAGTATTATTGTTTTGTGTATGTAATACTATGTTTTCTCAGTCTGGAATAATAACAGTATTTGGAGTAGTATTAAAACTCGATTCATTATAGAGCTTTCCAGTAAAAGCGCCACAAGATACACTTGTATAAAAACTGATTTAGGTTCAATAAAAATTTGTGTACTATTTTGTATCCATTCTCTTTCGTTTCTTAAAACTCTGTCGAAGTAGAAAAATTCCGACTTTGTTCCGTAATACATTTTCTGCTAAAACTCCTGTTATTCTGTGGAATCTACCCGATTACTTTAAGGTACATCAATGCACCTGAGAATACTACAAATGTATTATCTAGTTGTTTACTTTCCTTGATTAAATATAAAGCTTCATGGCATATAAACTATGTAAAACGACGTTCTTCAGTAGTTCGGCAGTCGGCTTGAGGGCTTATAACACTAAAATTCGATGTTAACCGAACATATAATAGATAACTGAACAACACTGTGTAAGGCATCCAAATATTCTGTTATTTTGATGAATCTCTTAACAACGAAACAAACAAACAATGTAACTATGATTGTCTAAGTTTGTTAGATTTTTATTTAAGAAAAGTTGTTTTAAACAGCAACAAATAAGTAGAAATAGGACTAATGTATGTTTGGTCTAATTTTCCACCAAGCAGAACCTACATTTTTACAGTGTGAGAAGAATTTATTAGGCCTAAGTGTTATTGTAAATGTCAGTTATATGAATAATTTTATGGTGGTATTATGTACTCTTGGTGGTGGAAGGAGCATTCATTATA